GAATTCCATCCGGTCCCATGGATTTTTGTGTTATGTGTCCACCCTCTTTGCAAAAGCAGAGTCAGCTTCATGAGTCAGGAAAAATGATTTCCAAAATAACTGTCCCTGTCAGAATCCAGTTTTCTGGCTCACTAAAAATGATCAAGAGATTTCTTGATGTTGAAACAAATGAACTAAGGTCAGTGTCTGGTAGGATGACAACACTATTCTGGCAGTGTTGCTGAGGACTGTCTCCTTTTTGGTTGCACAGATAATATGGTAAGTGAAAAGATCTTTGCACACAGAAATAACTTACCTCATTAACAAGCTACCTGTATGATTAACTTGATGTAAGTCCTTCCACATAAGTTAATATAGCCTCATAACAAGAGGCCACAGTATTTACAAACTGCCTTTGAACTTGAAAAAATAATTGCCTAGATTTCCCATAAGTTCAGCTAGCCACATTTAAAAACAAACCCTCAAAACCATGCAGTACCCTCATTGAGTCTCCTGTGCTCATCAAGACCAATCTCAGACTCTTCCTCATTGATCAAATTCTCATCTCTCATCTTTACAGCAGAGCTTTGTTCTCTAATTGTAAGTGTTAAAATATTTGAACTGATAACCGCTGTCAAGATCTGTTAAACAAATCAGCTTCATCAGTTTTTATTAAGACAGTCTGCTATCTAGTCTTACTTATACAGTTTTCAGTTACTGAACAAATTTTTGGTCATCTGCTTTTTGACTAAGAACAAAAGGATGCTTGTCCCCATATTTGTTTACAAAGCAAAGAATTATAGTGACTAATGAAACCCAGACTAATGACAGAGTTTCAATTTCTGCTCAGTGTGGCTCCATCAGCAATAACTATAATCACATCAGCAGAGTCAATCATAACAGAATTAAAGGTTATAATACAGCCACACTGTGAATTGACAAACCTCTGGGTGAAGGATTTTAACTAAGGTAAAAGGCACTGTTATGTTCTGTGTACACTGCAGATATATCTCACCACGCAGGTACTGCGACTCGCTGACACCTTCACCAGCATTACACAGCAAACAAAACCCCAACACACTCTTTTGAAACACAGTGTTAGTAGTCAAATAGCATGAAATCTTACATACTGTAATAATGCCAGCAGAGAAAGACAAGGTAAATATATTTATCCTTGCTGCTATGCTCATTTTTGGAAACTGTTTTCAGAACAGGTTTACAAGATCTGCCAAGGCTCAGGATTTAACTTGTAATTTTTCAAGCTGTGTTCTAGCTTGTTTGTATTATGAACAGCTTGAGGTACAACTCTTCTTTACTAAAGACTCCCCCCCAACCCAAACCTGATTTTAAAGAAATGCAGGCATTTGTACATGAAAAGAATAATCAGTTATTGTTATTAAAAAAACCTTGAATGTTTTATAAGGCAGAACATCCAAGTAAGAAGCATGTAAGTAAGTATAAGCTAGGATTTCTTAAAGACATTCTAATACAACTTACACAGGAAATTTCACGTTTTCCCAATTTCTGGATATTTCATGTCAGATATATAATGAAAATATTATGAACACTGTAAAAGTAAACAATAGACTAAAGAGTTACCTTGCCAAAAAGCAAAATTCACAGATTCAGCATGGCATGCAGAAATAGGTGGATGGTGACTGACCTAACAGGAAGACATGAAAGGGGGGAAAAAAGATGGACATATTAAAACTTGTACAGTCATTTTGGTGTGAGGTTTCGGGGTTTTTTTTCTTTCATTTTTCACTCAATACAGCATTTACAATTTGAACATTTACTTTCCTTTTGCAGGTGTGTCCTGAAGGGGGAGTCAGTGAGATTAATAAAGTACAGAGACTTAAGAAGCCTTGAAATAAATGGGAGGCACTTCTTTTAAAAGGCCTGGGAATTTTGCTCATAGAGTGAAAAATCTAACTATGTATTTTGTACACTGTCTCTAAGGTGATAACTACATTTACACTTAGGACCTCTTCATATATTAACAGAAGCTGCACTTTGAGCACACAGACAATAAAAATAATAAAGGGCCAAATTCTTCCGTACAGTAAATACCCACAAATCCCTGACTGTGAGAGAGGGACATTGATCCGCATCTCTGATGGAGGCCCGGGTGGAGAAATCAAGCCATGAATTTCCATCTAGCAGCTGCTGCTCCTGCAGTAGTGACACCTCAGGTGTTTCTAGTGCAAAAGTCTACCCTGCACTGCCTTTTATCAGCTTTGAGTAACAGCACATACATGAATTAGGGCAAACACCAAAATAGCAAAGCAAGGGCTGTGAGTAAATAAACAAATACACAATGCAGACGATTAAAAGGAAACAGCAAGTAATAAAATAACTGCACAAAGGGAAATCAGCCGCTTCTCCTTCCCTGTAAATTCTCCCTTCTGGGCGAACAGGACTAACAGTTGACCAGGACCAGCTCTTCAATACTACTGTTCTTTTGACAAAGACAACTTTATTTTCAAGTCAAATTGCTATCTCTCACTATGAATTTAATTTCTGAACCACCTACATGGCTCAAAGGCAGTTTTACTTTCTCCTTTGTTACTCGTTTTGCAAATCTGCTATCAAGCATTTTTTCTGCAGGCATCCAGTTATTTACTGAACAACCTCTACTTGGTTTAAAAAAAAAAGAGAAAAGTACTAATTGCTCTCCCTAATCCACCAAAAGCAACCGTCTTTCTCACATGCTGTGCCCAGATTAACCCTAGATGTCACTATAATTCATAGGTTAAACTTAGCTCTCACTTAAACTGTTATAATTCCAGAGTAAGGTCATGGTGCTAAGTGGAGTTATTCTAAACTCCCTCTAGTAATAGAACAGAATCTCCCTTACTTTATACATTTTGCCTCTCTATTCCATGGATTACAGACTATCTGCACTAATGAGTTATCTAGAGTAAGCATTAAAATGCTTCCACAAACAAGCAATAAACAACAGCTCCAGATGCAAAGAGAAATATTGAATGCTTGCCAGCTGCATAAAATTTCTTTCTTCCCGTACTGCCCTCCCCTCCTAATATTCCTCCACTCCATGCTATTACAGTAACTTTACAACTCTATAAACTCACCCCACTTATGTCACATATTAGAAAAACAGTTGTTAACAGCCCAACCCCCCTCATGTATTAAAATTACTCTTTAGAAAAAGTAGCCTTTGTACTGATTTATCCAATATTTAGGGGAAAATCTCTTCCTCTAATTCTATCTAACATTAATCTCAGTACCAACCTTTATTCACCACTGCAGTGCTCGATACACCACATTTTAGAACTGGAGTAACACAATGAAGAACCAGGTACATTACCTGAACTTTCAATTTGATTCTTGCTTTGACTGTTTTGCTTTTCTTTTTCCCTTAATTTTACTCTCACCTGTGACATTTCCTGAGACTAAGGAAAGATCACCTAGCGCTCCTTTTTGTCAGTTCTAAAACTTAATGTACAAAGTGTTCCATCTTCTGAGGTGATCAAAACCACTTTTTGTTTCCTAAAGGAAGCCTCTTAGAAGGATCTCATCAAATTTCTAGGTTGTACACCTTTGCCCACTGCACTTGTAATTTTTTTTCTTATGTCTAGACAGAATGAGCCAGCTTTCAATCATTCTTACTTTGCTAGACACCAGATTATTTAAGTTTTACCTCTTTTTAACATATGATTCAAGTTTAACAATTTTGGTAACTTGGTTGGTTTAAGCTTAATATTTTTCACCCATACTTAATAATTATTCTCCTATTGGGGAATTATTTTCGTAAACACTCAGACCTTTGTTGTCTACATCCTTTACCTACTAAGCTGCAGTACCAGATTTGAAAGGCTTAGCCCACAAAGTATTTGGACAGGAAGCAGAAATTCACATATATTAAAATATGCTACAGAAATGCTAGTGGCTGATTTACTCACACAAGGGATATATTTGTTATAAAAGAAGACATTAAGCAGCTGAAGACATGGTATTTTTAATGATCACACACAAAAGAAAATGACAAGAATGTGAATGCTTGTTGCAGTCGTGATCAGATTTCAGCATGGGGAATTGCACTCTACTTAACCAAGTTATCTTGTTACTGGAGCAGGCAGCCTGCCAGCCTCTGCTTCTCGAGTGTCAGCTGTTGGTTGTCATGTTCCAAGCCAAAATTAGCAGACGTTCCTCAAAAAAACAATTTTCTTCATTTAAAATTCTGCAACTTCCCTTGAGTTTTGCTGCGTTCAGGATTTGTGAAGTGATTTTGTGTTTTGCTATTAATTCCAGAGGATTCCAGCCATGCATTTAGAATTAAGCATTGTATCAAGTAGCAAATCTAAGGGTCGCACCATACAGTACCTGTTCTGCAAAGAACTGGAAACCCTTATCTTCACGAACACATTCGTAGGTTTCTCCAAGCACAGGATTAAATGGCTTACTTCCAGCTCGGTAGTAACTGGATGCATATGCAGAGACTGCAAATGCAGCTATATACACCTGGGAATAACATATGTGGAATTTCAGTTAATTAATTTACCACAGCCATACACACTTTTCCCTATACATTCTGATTTAACAGAAGAATCTTATCCTGACATCAGATTCTGTATTTCTTGCATCATTTGCAGACAACAAAAATGCATGCCTCCTGCAAGTTAAGCACTAGCTCACACATTAGAGAATTATTCAATTTTCAGAGAGTCATTCAGTGGTCCAATATGGAGTTATTAGGGACAAATACTGCAAATTTCATCAACTGAAAACAGCATTTCTGAAAACTGATTGAAATAGCTTAGCATTCTGCAACACAGTTCAAAGCAGTAACCCTAAAAATGACTGTTAGATTTTGTAATTATGGTTTGTGATTCTATGGATCTACCAATTATCCTTTTCCTAAACATGGCACAGGAAGTACTGGCAGAGTTTTCACCAAGTTTGCTCTTTCTAATGCATTTTGAATTGACTTGACTTTTATCTTCTCCATGCTATTACCTAATAATCATGAATCTGTTCTTGATTATGCCTGAAACACAGGTAATCCCTCAAAAGTTTTGTAGTCAACTCAAGCATAAATCCTCCTAAACCTGAGGAATTAGAATTTTTATTTTTTTAAAAAACCGAGGTCCATTTTGCACTATTTTTCTCCTTTTTCCTTCCCTTTTCCTCATCTTGTGAAAGTGTAGATGCTCTCCCTTCATAATTTCAGATACTGAATCTACTTCAGAATGGCTCTTTTATGCATTATGGCAATTACTATGCTACAGCTAGCATTAGTTTTGCCTCAGGAATTTTTCAAAGGCAAAGAATACTCCATTCTGAGGTAACTTCCAGATGCTTGGGTGTGGGAAGGAGGGAAAAGGCTTCTTTTCATTCCCATATGAACAACTACTGGTCATTTCCTTTTCCTTTTAACTTAGTTCTCAAGAGAACAAAAAATGCTGTGCACTGAAAACCCCAGTTAATCACCACACCCTCTTTCCTGAGAACAGAGACGGAATTGTAACCCTTGCAGAATGGAACAAGAAGCTTTTAAAACAGTATTTATAACATGACTATTTACATACATTAATAACCTCATCTTAAGATAAGATACATTGAGTTGAAAAGGCTTAATTCAGTTTAAGGGACAATTTATAGCTTCCATTTAAGAGAATTTACAGGCTTACATATTAAGTAGCCCTTGTACACCTGGAAGCAGAACAACTTAAATGCATTTTTCTCTTGCTCTTTTGCCAAATGCTGAATTCAGGGTTCTGCACTGGCAGAAGATGACACCATTATTGCACCCAAAATACATTTATACAGCCTGGTTTTGAGATCCTGAACATTTTGGATTAATCCCAAAACTTCACAAAACCAGTTAATAAAACAAGTGGAACTCATTTAGTTAAAATAACGATATCACACTTGTGTAGGGTTGGAGGATCCAGCAACCTATATGCACAAATGTGTTATCAGATTAGACACCTCTAAAAAAAGATATATTGTAGCTTTCATACTCAAAAGGGAAGCTCAAACCCCCTCCCTTTTTGCTGTAAATTTTTAATCTTACGGAGTAAGAGCTGCAAAATGGAACTAAACTGATTCTTTGTTTAATCTTGCAGGACAGCAAGGTATTTGAGGGGAGAGACTTCCCGAGAAAGTAATAGTAAAGAAAATGGAACAGAATATCTTCATTTATTTGGGAGATTGTTTTTAGAATGTTACTAAGTATTTGTTATAAAATATTTACCATCCGTTCAAATGGGTTAGGTGTATGCGCTGCTTTGTCTAGTAGTTCACTGTACTCCAGCTCCTCGCAGAGACGCTGAAGGGTGTTAAGTGGCTCATTTAATTCAACAGGCATAGCCACTTTGGAGAGATCCTTTCCTATGTTATTTCTCAGGATATTCCAGAGGCTGATGTTACTCGTATTAGGACACGGAGCTGGTAAACATGTTCTCCGTTTAGAATTGCATCCAATTCCACTTTCAGAAATACAGTCTGAAAAGGAAGGAAGTGGCAGAACAAATCAATTCACTGTTTATTTCATTTCATCCCCTTTGCAAACGTACATTAATATGCAACTGTCTTTTTTCTGTCAAAACTTCCTTCCGCCCTCACAATTCATACAAGTACTTCACTTGTGGTTTGAAGACAGCATGTTATAAAAATACTAAAATTAAGAACAAAATTTTAGTTTCTGTATGTTAACTAAGGTAAATACCAGGTACAAAAAATGCATTAAAAAGTACATTCCTTCCTCTTAAAGGCTAGAAGAGATGTTCAGGCTTTCCACGGAATTGAAAGAGCAACTATTATTAACTATTTTATTTGCAACAGAGATGGATTCCTATCTGTTTAAGGGACATAAAACCTCCCTCCTTGACAGAGCTTCAATTAAGTTGACACTTCTCAGAAGGCAAGGCGTAACTTACAGATTGAAGCATAATAACAACTCCTACCTATCTTTTCCTACATTTTTGAATGCTCCTACTAGGGAAATTTACTGCTTCGCAGGTCTACATTGAGGCTTTTCTGCAGGGCTCCCCATAGTGCTTAGCATTTAAAAAAATGTAGAGATGTTAACTTTTAGATACACCCATGGAGAAATGTTCTGTCTTAAAGGTGGAAAAGCTGAAGCAATTGTGGAGCTACACTTTGCTGAAGAGAAGAAAAAAGGACTCGTGTCAAGAGTGCTTGACATGAATATCTAAGGTCTGTGTGGCTATGTCAAAGCAATTGGAACAGGATAAACAGTTCTGAGTGTGCCATGAAATGATTTGTGGCAGGATCAAAATAGAGATACAAGCTTCTACAACAGGCACTAGGTCTGAAGTGATTACATTGCTTAGCTGTACATCAATCTCATTTCAGAGAGGGATACGGTTGCCACTACAAGAGCATATTTTATCTTTACACATCCTTAGAAGCAGCTAGTAAGCTCCTGCCCTAGAATCAGTTACCATTTGGAGACATTCAGGTATAACCCTAGTCTGTCAACCCTGTCCTCATCTGGCTTTCCTCACTCAGCTTTGTCTTGGAGGAATTAAAACTGCACTGGACAGCACATCTCTGCTGTGCTGCACATGTCTAAAGAATCACTGTCCTTAAATTCATTATTTCAACCACTATTTGCTCTGCTGGTCCACTGACATAAGCATCATATCAGCAGTGATTCCAACAGTGACAAAGTACAGACAACCACAAGGGCGAACTTCTTCACCACTGCCACGTATGCTAGCTCATCCCTCAGATAGAGGTTTTCAAGTGTAACCAGCAGCCTCAAAGTTGTGAGTATCAAGTTTCCATCTTTCCTGCCGCTCACAAACTGGAAGTCCTAATATCTCATGAGTTAAAAGGTTGGCTCCTATACTTCTCTCTTGGAAGAATTCATTTAATGTCAGAAGAGGCCAAAAAGAAGGAAGTTCCCTTAGATACCTCAGGAATATGGGGATATCTGGAAAGGAAGGAGGTAAATGCTAAAAATTTATCTTTGTTCAAAACAGCTCTCTGAAATGGGATTTGGGCGTGTCTTTTGGCAAATTCTGATTAAAAGCAGAATACAAATTGACTGAGCTACATATTCTGTACCATCCCATTAACTGAAGTAAACTGGTGACAAAACTGAGTAGAGAAACAACTAAGATATTCAGTTACCAACTTTTCTATACAGTGAAGTTTGCCCACCCCTCATAAAAAGAAACGCCCACACAGTTCTGGTTTGCACAAGCTCTAATAAATGGCCGTACAAAACTGAAGGAGATTAGGATATCTGACCTCCAGCAAGATTCAATGACTGGGCGATTATCATCATCTGGTCTCACCTCCTACATTACAGTGGCCAGAGGATTTTATAATAATCCCATAAACTATGATTCATCTAAAGCCCTGCAGGAAAAAGACATCCAGTTTGCTACTAATGGGCAGGCAACCCGAAGCACAGAAATAGCAAAGCACGTGGAGGTGCTGCTAATATGGAAGAGCTTCAGTGATAGTCTTTGTTACAAGAAGTTGAGCAGCCACAACAGTACAGTTTTCTAAGGTCCAGATCATGAGATAAATCAATCTGTATTCTTTCCTATCTTTCAAAAAACCCCAAACTTCACTTTTAAACAGTTACAGAATACAGCTGATCTCCAGGCATATGAAACTACCCAAGTTCACAGGGATCCATTGGTCCTTGGACTTGATCAGGAAACAGCTGCTAGTAAGAAATCACTGTTCAGCATTTTTGAAGATAAAAATATATTGATAGAGCGGGAAGAACATTGTGGTTAGCTGAAAGGAGTTGAAGGCACAAAGCCAATTGGTTTGTTATGACCAATTCTTCTTCCTCTTTTTTTGATCCTGTCTCTAATTAGCACAACAGTTAAATAAGCATATGCACTAACAAGTCTATCATGATTAAAACATGCAAAAAAGAAATCCTGATGGTCATACACAAGTTACCCAGTCTGTAAATATTCTCATGTTCCTTTTAACACTGAGTTCTGCTGAAAACAACAGAACTCTGAATGCAGCTAAATTGCAGACTGTAAAAACAGACTGATGGGAAGAAAATTACTTTTTGGGGAAAAAAAAAGGCAAAAAAAAAAGCAAAAAAAAAGCAGCTAGGCCTTGGTGCTTTGAAAAATCCTGTGGCCATAAAAAGAACTTAAAAGGAGTGGGACTTGCACTAAAGAAGCCAACAAAATAGATGTTCCTCTGCTGATACAGAACCACCATCCTGGTTAATCAATGATGCCCAGGCTCTGTTAATCAGATTAGCCAGAATGTGCTGTTCAGAACCAATCTGAGGCTGTTCAGAGAAAAAAACATGGGCTGTTTACATCTCAAATCCTGTAATATCAAATTATTTATAGTAAGAGAAGGAAAAAAAATATCCCAAACAAAATTCTCAAAACATGGTATAATAAAACACTGAACTTACCTAAAGTTTGTCTTTCATTCTCTATGTCATTGCTTAGGTTATCTTCTGAGACATTATCACTGATATCACTTACATATGAGTCATCATCTGATACCTGAGTGTGGGGTAGAGAAATAAGCATCACATCACTCATTAAAATAAACCCACATGCACTTGAAAATTGTTGCGTTCAGCTGCAATTATTATTTTAACAGATTTGAACTGTTTAAGCTGTGTTTCGGCATTACAGAAAGGTACTAAGAAGTCCTAAGAAGACATGATTAAGTTTGAGAGAGATTGCAATTGCTGAAAATACAGCTATTCTTTCAGCAGAGACATGCTTCATCTTCTTGGCCTCCCAGCTAAGGCAGCTTTCCTCATATCAAAAGCCAAGGTTTTTACGGAGTCCAAGAGAGGTGACAAAATGAGGTATTAAGTTTCAACATGCATGACATCAGCCCTAAGGTACATACAGGTACCACAAGGACAGATATGAGTATATGTTTCTATGATATAATTTCTTAAGTACCTGTAGAACAACTCAAGGCAGACAGCACAATATATTCAGGATCTGCATACTAGCTCCCTAATTGCCATTTGCCTCAATGTGCATATAAGACTTCCCCATAATTGTTACAATTTACAGTGAAGAAACTATGACAGCAAATAAATATACGTGGCATATTGATTTCTAAATGTTCTGAAAACTTTCCTTTTCTGGCAGTCATCTGATGTGCAGTAGCACTCAGAAAGACTGCACATCAACTAGCAGATACTAAACAACATCAGAATGATGTCAATCTTGATACTCAGACCTCATTTTCTGAAGAGCTGGCAGACAGTAGGACTTCCTGTGCATCAAAAAATTCTGTGAGAGAGTCAGCTATAGACAGTCTGCTTTCATTGGAGGCCTGGTGAACCAGACCTCTGCTTTCTTCCCTCGAATTTTCCTGTTTAAAAGAAGTAAGAAAAGTTTTGAGAGGGCGAGTACCACAAATAACATTCATACATGCAATTCTACAGTCACATAACTTAAAGGGCTGTAAAACACTGGGAGAAGATTGCACATACTCCTCTCCAATTTAGTGAAAGGTAGCATGTGTTTCAAAGAGGGATTTAAAACCAAAGTAAAACAGACCAAAGTGAAGAAGAAAAAAGAAGAAGAAAAGCAGTATCAGTTATGGTGCTGCATGTACTTTTTCCTCAAAAAAAAAAAAGGAAAAATGCTTTGATATTTGAATGATTTAGCCAGATAGACACAAGAGTATCATCAAAAAGCCCCCAAGGATAAGAACTCCCATCTCTTCATATTACAGCCCAGATTCTCATCCCCTTCTGATCTTAGCAAATGAATTCATTATTTCCTCCTAAGCCTTGCTTAATGCAAAGCCTGCGGTGCAGTGGCATACAAAATTCAGAGGGGCAAAGTTGCTTGCTATACAAGTAGAAGTTTCCTAGCTCTCTTTCTTCACTAGGCTATTTTCTACACTGTGCTTTGGAAAGCTTTCCTTCATACCCCCACCTGAAATATCTTTGTGTTAACCAAAACCAACATGTTATCAAAGCCACATCAGTAACACTGCTTTTGCTGCTGCAGGCACATTTGACTGCCACAGAGATTTTGGTAACTCCTCCCGCGGAAGCTCTACAGATCATTGGTGGAGGCAGAGTTCCTAAAAGTGGCCTAGCAAAGGTGGAGTGACTAGCAAGGCTTGGTTCATTCTGTGGATGCATAGAAAAAGTTGGAGAACATTGTGCAATATACATAATAGATCGTATAATATATATATAATGCGCTATTGTTTTCCCTGATAACTCCAGCGACTCTAAGGAAAAAGGCTAGCTAGCCCCAAGGAAGGTATTAACTGCTCTCAAGCTTTTCTGTCTGAGGTGCTTTACTGACTTGTAACCATGACGGCCCTATCATAGTTTTGCAGGAATTGTGGTATTTTACTTTCAGAACAACATAATGAACAATCTGACAAGTCTATAATCCAAACTGACAAATCTTTCAAAGCATTTTTTGCTGGTAGGTCTTACTGTAGTATGGAATGTTATTCAGTTTGTGCTGATAATGGTGACATGGTAACAAAGCAAACTGTTATCATACAGAAGACCTTAAAAAAATATACTTCTGATACAGCTGCAAGAAAAAAGGAAACCTCAATATTGTCTCTTCTGTGGGAAGGCAGTTACACTGGTCTACAAGTAAAGAAAATAATTCTTACACATATGAGCATTGCTACTGAGATTGTTTCCAACACTATTTTGAATCTGAGAAGGAAAGGGAGCAAGAAAGGCTCATGAAAGAACAGCAGGTTTTGTTTTGGGTTTTTTTCAGGTTGTCTTCTTTCATGTTCCCATTCTGGCATGATAAACTACAACATAAATTGCTCAGTAGACAAACTAAACTTTCACCTTATGCAAAGGCTGGATACACTAGTTTATACTGCTTCAATTTCCAGGGGTCTATCATAGCACCTGATGTATTATTTAGAGCCAAGTTTTGTGCAGTGGCCCTGTCTTCCTCACAGCAGTACTACTGTACCATACTCATCAGACAAATCTAAAATGAAACTCTCCAGTATACGTGATTACATCCATAAGTTCCATCCCAAAACATACCAGAGGGACTTTGTGAATGAAACCTCTAAGGGACCTTTTGAAAGCTATTTTTGTCTTGTGTGTGTGCATATAGTGCATAGAACAGGTTTCAGAAATGATCCATTGTCATTGCAAGGACCTCCACTAAAAAAAGAAAATAAAAAGCTCCTGAAAAAAAAAAAAGTGCATTAATGCTTGTCTGGGTAGCAGTTTAAGTGCACTTCAAATTCTCATTGGATTAAAAGCGAAAGGCATTAGAATGATCAACTACCTTAAAGGAGGAAAAAAAAACCAAGGAAAAACAAAACCAACAGCTAAATATGACCAAAACACAGCTCTACTAAACCAGAAGTAAACTGGAAGTGAACAGATGGAATGACTAAACTGTCATTAAAAAGAAAAGGAAATAATAAGTTACATAAAACCCCCAGCATTACCTCCACTCAAATCCTAATGAAAGATTTATACCACAAGCACAGCAGAAGTTTCTGTATGAGTTAACATTTAGGAAAATCCATCAGAAATAACACATTTTTTGCTTCCTCCACTAGCACCATTAACACCTAGATCCTATGACCTATAAATACACCATATCCACATGCATTCTGCAGCAAGCCAAAAATACGTCTGAACCTCAGCACATCTCAACTGGCTAACAGGGTATTTAGAAGACTCCCTGGTTTCATGTAAAGAAAACTAAATGGTTGAAAGGGCTCTTGTATGTCTCATTTCTTTGATCCTTTCATGGAAATGTCTGATAGGTGTTCTAAACCTTACACAAGCCACACTAGTAGCCAGTGGTCTGGGCTAACAATATTTAGACAGGCAACAGAAAGAAGTACAGGACTTGAAAGTTAACAAGGGAGTAACGGGGAGAGAAACAGCAGCATGTGGGTAACAAGGCAGCAGCTCTGCTCATGCTGAATGGGAAGCAGGCAGGAGGCGATGTAGAGCACCAGCAAACAGCAGCAAAAAGCAACGGCAGTGTACTCAGGAAAACTGTTCACAAGGAAAGTCTTTGAAATCAAGTATTACACAATGCATCATTAGAAATGAGTCATAACCACAAAAGCAGACTTGTTTTACTAACACAGTACACCACAAGGAAGACATGGATAACAGAACAAGATGCAGCTATGCAGCACTGTCTAGATGTAGGGGCTTGAGGAGCAGACGTCACTGAGAGAGGATATCCATACCCACCTTCACCAAATCTGGACTTGATTTTGCATTAGATGCTGAATCAAGGATCATAGATTCGGCATGTATTCTGCGTAACCGGTCTTTAAGATCTGTGTTTTGTGCTATTGCCTGGAATATTTAACAAAAATATTGGGGATATAAAGTTCTCTCTACTAACTTGAACGTGGCTTTATTGTGTAAAACTAGGTGAAGACTATTTAAAAGTGCAGTATAAAATACCACCACCACATGATTTTTTACTGGTTCAGCAAATCATTTATTATAAATTCTTCAAACCTTGCTCCTTATCTCTCAAATTAAAACTATTTTTATTCAGTGTGAGGGAAAAGATACATATATGGAAAAAAAAAAACCAAAGATGGCAGGGATATTTCAAGTTACCGGGTTCTGCAAGCTGATGTAGTAAGCTATAAATGAATTGTGTGCATCTTTTTTTTCTTTTCAAGCTCCCTTCCTTCACTCCCATATCCAACCTAGCCTCTCTCAACATTAATTCTTACCCTTAGCACACCCAAAACTATCTGATTTTCGCATCAGCCTGGTATACTGACAGTTCACATTGCTTTATACTGACAGACGAATAAGATTTAATTTCAGACAGGTACAATTTATGTCCTATGAGCTTACACTGGCAATGATTACAATAAAAAGCCTCTACTGCATGCTCATGTTTGTTACGTGTCATTTACTTGTGCTGGGTGCATCTGATGGGCAGATGCCAGTTAGAGTAGACTTGCAGGAAGAGAATGCAACCGTGCCTGCAATGAAAATAACTCTGATAAAAAAGACTGGCTTACTAATTTTGGAACAGTACTGAAGACTTACTGCCCATTTTAGTGATCTGAATCAATACCAGGATGTGAAGAACCCTGCTGTTGACACAACTGCTCTGTCCCACAAATGCTTGATTTTGACAGTATTTTTTGTTGGAAACACTCTTGAGGGTAGGAAAGACAGTAAGCTCAAAGTGATAATGAAGGGGAGAAAGTAATTTCTGCTTTACATATGTGTGGTTTGAATTCACCATACAGGCAATATATCACTTCTGTGTCAAGTGTTCAGTGGACAGCATTGTGTTATACCCACAACATCAAATAAGTGCAAAACAGAATTTACACAGCTTTCCTGTAATAGCATCTTCCAATTTTCATCATTTGCTACAAATTGTTTTCTTCCATTTTCTTCTTTCTGCCTCAAAAATAAAAATAATGTACTTTTCCCCGTTCTGTATTTGCTTCTCTTAGACTCCATGTAGGTCAAGGATATTATTGTATGAGAGAGAAGCAGAGGCAGAGATACTAATTTTGTGGTGTTTTATCCACTTTAAATCTTTTCACTGTTCTTCCCCTACCAGGCTGATGAGAGCAAAATAGACTTATGCTTGATAGCTTTTAACCTGTGAGCCTCGTTTTTTGTTCCTTATGTACAGAAAACAAACTGAAATGAACGATGACGACAAATACTAAGTCAAAATCATCAACACAGGACTCCTGTGCAAGGAACTCTTAGAAATATGACAAATTTATCATATCTGTGCTTCCATATGACTTCAAAGGAAGGTTATTCCTTTCTCCTACAGGATCTCTGCTGTACAGGGTGAGAAAATTTCTGTTGGCATCATGGCTTGACAGACCTGCAGGCTAAGAATAGCTCTCTCAGGTGTTAACCCCTGCTGAAACTGCTAAGGTTTACAGATGGCTTCTGCATGGGCTACAAAAGGCTTATTAAGTATCAGATAAGACCTAAAAGAACAACTTATTTTAAAAGACATTAAGAGGATTAAGGTGGACAACAGAATTTCATTGCTTAGGAAAAAAAATCATGCTGAGCATTCACTGAATTCAGAAATATTTAAATGGATTTTTTGATATAAAATGGTAGGCAAATAACACTGGAAAAATAAAGTCACCAATTCAAATATCAGAAGTGGAACATCTGAAAGCCAAAAAACAAAGAAGTGCAAATGAGTGAGTATAGTTATCACACAACAGGTTTCAGTTTTCTCTAAATACTATGAAGACATCATTGCCTCTAAATGTCTAGGCAAAGAGACACGTTTTGTGCTTAAAAAACTAAAACTCTATGCAGCTTTTATAAATCAAGGGGAAGTTTTTGTACTGAAATAATTCTAAGATTATCTATATCCCATTTATCAATGTCAGAGAGTCTCCTCTGCCTCTGATTAGGAATTTGCAACACTGGAATTTTAAGGCCACAGCAATGGTAGCCCTCACTGGTCTCAAATCAGATCACTCATTGATCCATTCAGACATGACCAACCTGAAAGTTCTGGTCTCAACCAATTACAAAAAGCACACCAACCAAAACCTTTTCAAAGAGCACAATCTTTTGCCATTTAGAACTCTGCCCTAATGGCTCCATTGCCGCTTTCAGAGAACTTACAGATAATTAAAGTTGGAAGTCAATACAGACAAGTTGAACTTGCTTTGCAGTGTCTTGATGCAGCATGGTGAAGCTCTAGCGCATTAGAAGGAACAGCTGAGTGCTTTCACCCCCTCTCACCTTTATTTTATGCCAAGTCATACAGTGAATACTTGAGTGCTGTTTAGGAAAAGAAAAGGAAAAAGAAACCCGCAACCTACCAGAACTGAGTGATTGAACAGTGTATGTTTTGAGAGAAAGTAGACTCATTGTCACAGAACAGCCTTCTGATTCTTAACATCAAATGACAGAAATTATACTATATAACTATCAGTCTATCAAACTTCAGTCATTTCACAATACCTTTAACATTTATAAGTCATTAAAAAACAACCATATATAATAACTTACTATTATTCAATACTGCAAATTCTAGCACAGAACAGACACAAAAGAAACAGAAATTAACTACTAAAAAAATTTAAAAGTGGCATCTGATGACAACGAAGCTTGCTGAACTTCAGTATGTCACTTACAGATGTTAAGGCATTCTTCAAGCCAACTATTTGTGCAGATGGAGATGAGGATGCGTCGTGCTCCAGCATCTGCTTCAGCTTTTCTCGCTCTGTAGATATGGTGCCGAAAGCTGACCTCAAGGTGAAGTAAACTAGAACCATTTTGTAAAAAGTGACAATTAAAACCTACTACCAATTGTATACGTATCAATTACGTAAAACTTCAACGAAACATCATTTATGGTGACAGAAACAAGAAGTTAGGTTGAGAGATCCAGGGTGGGTTACTAAAACCAAGTAATAGTAATCATGGTTATAGGGTAGATTTTTTAGTAGGAGAAATGTTTATGGTGAATGCTACTGTGTTGACTGTATTAGTCACAATCAAAATTACTCTGATTATTTGTGACAGATGGCAATAAAGCTAACTAACCACATCTGCTCTTCACTTGCTTTTGTTCCCCAATTAGCTCGACTCTTCAGATGGCCATGACTCTACTCCAAATTCCTTTAAGAATTCCAGTGTGGGAAAAGAAGAGAGGAAAGAAAAAAAATGAAATAGAAAAAAAATAAAAAAGCAGCTATAACACATACTGTGCCACAGCTAAAGGGTTAGTAGTTTCCCCACACGCAAGTCAACGGTGGTGTTGAGTTTTGTTATCTCTTTTTGGGATAAAGAAATTTCAGCTTGTTAGATGATTTAGTGACTCGAAGGGTCAGATCCTGAATGTTCTGCATGTTATGCTGCTACTTCTACTCATTCCTAAGCCAGTATCACCAGCCTGAAACATTCAAAGCAAACAAAAGATCAATCATGCAATTTTAAAATCAGTAGCTTTTTAGAGGGGAAAATGCACTCTTTTTTTTAAGCTTTTAAGACATTCAGTCTTTTCTTTAACCACAAGGAATAAAAAAATATTTGAGTAACGCTTGTTTATGTAGGATGTCAACATGCATCTAACTGGAGAATTAGAGGATTTCTGAGAGCCTAATCACGCCTCGTAATACAGTCATGAAAACTATCAATGAAAAAAATGTCTCCATTTACAGGGAAATAGTGATATAAAATCTGAGCATGGGTGCATGTAAAGGGCGAAGAACAAGGAATCTCTGATACTTCTGTTTTCTAATCATCCACTCAGAGTTACTCTGAATCATCATCACTTCACTGAGTATTTGATGTAACCTAATTTAATATTATAAGAAATTATTCTTAAGTATATTTCAACACTACAAACCATCACCAAAGCTAATTCTTACACTTAAACCTAATTGAAGAAATCTTTAACAGTATCACATGGGGTGGGGACAAAGACATATCCACTATGACCTATTTTAAGTTAGCCTTTCATATGTGGATGACATGACCAGAATCTTCAGTGATCTTAAATATAATTTAATAAGCTGTATACTAACTTAAATTCTCAAGGATTATTACATACTAAAGTACTAATGTTACATTTTGCTTTATTTGCATCAAAGGCTACAGCTAAAGGTGTCTTGATTACCCTTTTCCAGAAAAGGTGTAGTAGAAAGCAACTTTGAAAAAGAATTCTTTGCATTCTTAATAAAATGATACTGTGTTAAATAGTTACAAGTCAACTGTCCCCTCAATGCATGTGTCAATCTAGCCAAAATTTCTGACATGGACATTTCAGGTAAGATGACCGAGTAGGTGACTTCTTTCCTCCGCTTACTTCCAACTTTTTTCAACTGTGCCCCATCCCCACTTCTTTTCTCTTTTTGGAAAACATACAGCAGTTTTGACTATAACTGACTTTATGAAGTTTACTACTTAGATACATTTCTCACATAATGGAATCAAGATACATCTGCACTAGAGGGGAAAAACAAGCAAAGGATGCTCATTGATACCATCAACCATTATCTTGTGCAATAGGGAACAAAGCTAGTAGTCCCAAAAGTCTTTCAGATATAAATGCTTAAGTGCTTTCCTCACTGAGATCACTTAAACAATAAAAATGTTTCTGGTAAGAGGGTGATGGAGCAAAGCACCACTAATGAAAAATGGTTTGGAGAGAAAATTTCTAGTCAAGCTGCGCCACTGGCTGCTTTACATGATTTTACTCTTCTGTATTCACTAAAAATAGGTTACTACCATAGCAACCCTTGCATCACCAACAAATGTTGACTGTGAAATACAGTGAAGCACACCAAATATACAAACATACATGTGTTCATATACACACATATGTACGCAAACGCAAAATAGTATAATCGGCCGTTACATTTATTGCAACTGATTTTAAGGTTTTTACCTTTTCGCAAAAAAATACAACCTAGGTTTTTAGCACATAAACCAAAGGGCTGTCCTTTATTAAATAAAAAAATTAAAAAATTTGATGATTAAGCCACTTATTTTCAAATTACTCAAAATCTCAAGATTTGGAATTCCTCAAGGGAACTAAAGGAAGAGAGGGTGTTTTCTGCTTTTACTAAACATTAATCAGGAAACATTCTCCGAAGTCACATCATCATTTAAATTATGATGATACAAAACCACTTCTGAAAGACAATTTCATTTACCTTTATGTGCAATGTTAAATAAGTCCTCTTGCATTTTTGTAAATTCTGATGATGTTTCAGAGCCATCGGAGTAATTTTTCTCCTCTACAAAATCTATTGTAGACAAGTTTGGATTGGAAGCATGCAGTCTCATGGGGGCAGAAAATACTGAAGGCACCTGTAAGGAGGATAGTCATTGGTGATTGTTTTACAAACTGTAAAGAAAATTCTGTTTTATTGTACTCACGTGGGTTACATGTTAGAGACACCAAAACCTGAAAAACTGCTGTCAGTTACCAATAGGTGTGGAATGGATGACACTTGGCAAATGAAACCACAGATATAACTTAGCCCAGGATACCATAATTGGAGATTTGGCAAAACTCCAAGAAACAAGCCCACTGAGAGCTGTAGCAGATGCTATACTATTTTTCCCCAATAGTATCTAATCACACGGCCTCTGGATGCAAATGTGTACAAAACTATCTGGAGAATTTGCAAAAATCTGTACTGATAAAAAACCCCAACATCACAACATCACAACACCCCAGACTGGGGGCAGACTGAAAACATGAGTAAAAACCATGGCCAGTTTCCTGAAGGTGACAGCACAGATCCCGCTACAGATAACAATGACAACGTATTTCTGTTTTGTCTGATATATTATCAATTAAAATAAGCTAGCACAGGACACGGCTTAGATTCATATTTCTTAAACTGGTCACACTGGAAAGTGATCAGTAACTGAGATTTGGAGAAAGATGGGCACTGAAAGGACTGAAGTTACCTGTAACGTTCCTTTAGCCTCTTTCCCAACAACTCTGGATCGCCACCTCCTGTGTGTTCTCTTTTCCTTCTTTGGGCTTTCAAAAGGTCCAACCTTTTAACAACACACAGGACAAAAAAAATACAAATTGCCATAAAACTAGCAGAGCCAAGAAGGAAAACTTTTTTTGGTTTTGTTTTTTTAAACAACAAACCTGCATAGCATTTATAGCAGGCGCTGAATATGTCCTGTGAAGAACATCCATGCTCTGTAACAGCTGGTTCATTTCCAGTAAATATGTGTGACAGTTGGAGAGGTCTGTTTTGAACAAGAGAATATTTTCAGTTGCCCTAAAGTAACAGACACACTGAAAGTTCTTTTCTTTGTAGGTCAGTCTTATTTTGATTTTAGCTAGCTTAAGTTATTTATTGACTAAAGCACACTGTTAGATGACTGGATAAAAAACTTCTATCCTTCTGTCTTCAAGTTCAAATTCAAAATATTGAAATGCATCTATATGGTTTGCATAATCATTTATTTATATGATAATATTTTATGATTGTCTGTTGCAGAAAAATGAGAATAATGTGATAATTACTGCAGTTTGGGACTAGTCAGAGCTGCTCATGGTGAGGGAAACAATGTCATAGGCATCAAGACTGAACTGTACATTCAGAGCTAGAGATAAGACTCCTCTATATCAAGCTGAAACTCAATGGTAGGTGGAATCTTACCAACTAATATCACACAAATACTACAAACTTGACAAGGATCTTCACGCTCTTAGGAAAGTATGAAAGCAGAAGGTGACTTTGAAGTACAAAGATTTAGTGCTTTTTAAATTACTAGATTTTGGATGCTTCCCTTTTTTGAACACCCAGGTTAAGCAAGTTCAAATCTTACTACTGAAGGTGATGTTCGCATATAAAAGAAAATGTACTGAAATTTATAGGTTCCTTGAAGAGGTGCTCACAATTGATACCCCCACATCCAAAATCACTAGTCCTTTTGAAAACATGTGAGCAGTCAGTTAATCAGCAACCATCATCAAAACTCTAACTGCAATGACAATTTACTGTGTAGTACCTCATTGTCAAGAAAAACTAGGGGAAATATTAGGCTACTTTCAACCTCCTTCAAATATCATTACCTCTGGAGCATCTTTCCATGTCTTCAGAAGACTGTAGCCAAGATGAAATCCTGGACTCATTACTCGAAAAGGAAAATGACAAGTTACCTCCAGCTGCCAATGAATTCTGTTTGGTCAAGCTGCCTGCCTGTTCCAAAGAAAAACAAGTGAATTACTAACAAACAATATTTTAACTGTTGTATGCACAAATTTTGACAACCAACAGTTGAGGTCCATGATCAGAGTCAAAGACTGAAGGCATCAATAACATGGAGGGAAAAAAGTGTATGAACTAGAGTAGGTGTATAGTCATTGAGCACCATGTGAGCTTATCTAATGTAACTGCTGTCCACGAGCGGTAGAAATACTAAAGGAACCATAAAAAATTGCTGAAAACTAAATTTTGAGGAAGGACAAAGTTCTGCATAAATTAATTCAATACAATTGAAGCGCCATATCTGAACAGGATCAACATCAGACATTCTGTTTTTTCTTCAGGCTCTCCAAAGAAGCCCTAAAAGTAACTTATATGTAACATGCATGTATTTGTTAAAGTTATTTTTCAGTCAAGAAAGCAAGATCTACTAGATGTTATTTAAAAATTTCACTCAAGGTTGTATGACTTCAGGATGGATTTGGCTTGACAGGTCTTAATGTATGAGTGACCATACACCTCATATGGGTAACTACTACCCTTTTACAAGGGTAAACCGTTTTCAAACTTACCTCATTTTCAGCAGTGCCTCCTCCTATCAGATGTTTCAGGAGATGTTGGAAATTCTGTGTAAGAGCTAATTGGGCAGTACAATTAAGTAGTTTCCAATGGGAAGAAATTTTCACCCAATGCAATCACCAGTTGATTGTGGCCTATAATGCTGATTTCTTCTCTAACGTCACTAAAGATAATAGCCATTCAAATGCCTAATTATTTTTAGACGTTATTAAACCTTTCATCTTATCTATTATCAGGAAGTTGCACAAATTACATGCTTTGTCAACAACTTGTTTAAAATCAGTTTTAAAATGTTTCATCTTAAGTGCCATTACGTGATGTCTTTACTGGTTATGAGAAAAGCTGACTAAATTTGCTCTTCTCTGAAGCGTGCACTTTACAAACTGTTACCTCCTGCTCACATTATATGAAAACTCATGTAGTACTGGTTTTAAATCTATTCACAGGAAACATCATGTACATCTCAGTCAGTTGCAGTTTCCTTAGTTGATCTTTTAAAAATTACAATATAAGCTCCAACTTGAGTTGCAGAATGAAATAAAATGCACTACCCATGTGATGTCATTCAATACTGTGTTAATTTACACAGGTAGTATGCAACAGTAGTAAGTATCAGCAAGCACACATTTTTAAATTAATCTATGTAGTTTAGCTGTTCTGGTCCTACATAAAGTTGTATGAGCTTTAGTCATCTATATATGTATATCCAAATAATAATCCCAGCACCTTTAAAAGCACAAATAACCTGAATTTAAATATGAGCAATTGTACTAGCATTTTGTGAACAAATTCCACATTTATCTCTTCAAAAATCTCTCTCATATAACCAAATTTTCCAGAACTCATTTACATGAGGGGCATGAGCAGGAAGGAAAAAAAAATTGCCAAGAAACAGGCAAGAGAGAGTTTGTGTTGCTCCAGTTAGCACAGTTTTGCTTTTGATCAGCATGGCTAAGCTTTTGAATCCAAGCATTTCACATAAACATATGCAAAGATGCATACATCTACCTCCCAATCACAACAATCAGATTTGAAAACCGATCAAGTGTTCCTAAAAGGAAATAAAGTGCAATGCAAAGTTCACTCAATGTATTTTTCTCAAAATAACCTAACTGCTGGACTGATAGCAACTAACATCAAGCTAAGGCTGGTGTAAATTGGCAAACATCCATTTAGCTTCAGCAGAGCTAAGGTGATTAACTACAGCTTAAGAACTATCCTGTTCTATTTTTCACATGAAATTAAATAGGGCTTCTTTGCAGTGCAAATCTGGATTAATAAATTAAAAGTGAATTAAAGTTCTTCCATGCCAAAGAAGAAATGGTGAGGTTTCTGATAGTGAGCATAGATTTTATATATGCTGGTTATGCAGATTTTTTAAAAATTTATTTTATTTTAATTTGAGAGCACAGGCATAGATATATCATGGGTTATGCAATGTTCCACTTTTGCCTTCAATATCCTTCTTCCCTTCTCTCTCTGCCATCTTTTGGGAGAAAAGAACTAAATGGCCACAGGAGGTTTCCATTTCCTTGCAGATAGCCTCAGAAGACCAGGCTATCAGAGCCACCGAGGTGCTGGTACCACAGGAAGCAGGCAACAGATCTTTGCAGAACAGCTCTGTTACTGCAGAGTGAGTTACTGTTCTTCCAGGTGTCCACTTGCACAGATTACCTCCCTCTCAACCACTAGCAAAAAGCTGTTTGGGCACATGTTTGTGCTTGGTAAAACTCATACTCGGTTACAAGATGGTTCTACCAAGGTGATGAACTGCAGGTACTGGAGAACAAGCCCACTCAGATCATACAGCAATACAGCCAGGTAAGAGAAACCTTAGATAGGAGGATAAAAAAGAGGTGATTGCTGCTTAGGAGACACTCTGGAGTTGACAGGAACAGTTCAGTTACAGTAAGTAATACAGTACTGCTAAAAAGATATTATTCTCAAAAGTGATCACTGGTCCTAGACTGGAGCAGAGAAGCTTCTTGAGGTGAACATCAGCCACTCAACGTGCAGACTGCTGAAGGTACAGGGGTTATGTTCAGGCACAGAACACAATCACTCTTCTGTAAGACTGCATCAAAGAGGTCAGGTATGGTGTCAGATTGAGCATTTTTCAGGTCATTTAGTGAAACTACCAGACACAGAATTTACCTAAAGAGAAGTACGCTGCTGACTGAACCCGTCCACACCCCACCTACAGCATTGTCCTTGCATTGGTTTGAGTAATTCTTTTACCTCAGTTAGAAATATAAATAGTGGCCACAGGTGATGGCTCTTGGATAATTCTTATATACTCCTTAGGTAAGCACAGTCAGATTCATTAATGTAAAAGGGGAGAGGTTTTATTAGCTAAAGGATAAATGAAAAAAATTCTAAAGGGAAAAAAAATCTAGCTGAGTGCTCTTCCGTAACCCAGACTAATATTCACCAGCACATATAATACAAATATTGATATAGATCTCAAAAATTATGAGGATTCTAACTCAGCCTCTAGTTTTAAAAGTCATCACGAAAATAACATTTAACAGCATCATAGAGAAAACTGCTTGGGAGTAATTCAATAAATAATAGAATTTTCCTCTTGACATTTCAGATCATAACTTGAACTCCACCACAAACGTCCATTAGAGTCTTTACTTAATAAACAAAAATCAGACTAATCTAATCCCTGATAAAAGCTCATTGTTTATAAATCATAACTCTTACCTTTCTACCTGGAGTAGAATCACAGAATCCAGGGACAGAGTCCGTAGTAGTAGACGCGGGGAAGAAGAGATTATTGACGTCATGAGGAAACATGGAGATTTCGTTCTGACGGTACATTCTGTGATGACGAAGTTTTGCTACCCATTCATCAAACAGCTCCTGAGATTTCACCTACACAAAAGGTCAGGTTTTATAATGTTCACACTCAAAAGCACTAGCAATGAAGCCCAAGTAATTTGTGCTCATTAGACGGCTAGTCTGGCTGACCCTTATTGACAAAATAGCAGGAAAGTTTTTCTAATGATGCTCCTACTAGAAAGCACACTGTGTGAGCTCAAGCATGGCAGAAAAGTAATCATAGAATAAAATAAAGAAAAAGAGAAACTTCAATTAGTATAGTTATGACTTCCAATGCAGAACACAATACTCGGCAACTTCTAGATGGAAAAAAAAACATTATAAATAAAAAAATAATAATTTGCCATTTCTTAATTGCTATTTTTAAGGTTTAGTCAAGGTTTAGCTAAGCACAAATAGAGATCTGATTTTGGTGATGTATTTTAAAACAATTTATTCCACAAGGGTAGATAAATCTACACATTTGACTGTGGAAAATACTTCCTATAGATAAGACAAAGAGCAGGATACAAGTACTGAAAATAAAAGAACTTGTGCAACAGGTGCATACCCTCTGCTGAAAAACGTGCTGGATTAAAAGAGTGCTGCTAAACATGAGGCTTCTTCAAAGTTTCTATTTAGAACAGGGTTACTGACTCTCCAACAGTACAACAAGGCCTCTCAAGTTATAAAGTGTAAACTAGTCTGCTGACTGAAAGTAAGTTGTTAGTGTGACTGACAGACCTTCTACTATTAAAAAAAAGGTCTCCACCATACACAGCTAATGTTATTTTTGGGAGCAAGGTTATAACAATCTTGAAAACCTACCTTCAAATGGTATATCTGCTCTTCTGTATCCAGATCTATACATTTTGTTGATTTCTTTACAGACATGACAGAAAGTCCAACATCAATGCAGCCATGAAGCTTCCCTCTCTCTATCTGAAAAAACAAAAAGAATACACTTACTCCAGAATAAAGCAAAAGGACAGCTATTACCTGTTGAATCCATCATTTCCCTGTCTTCAACCTACTGTTTAGAACTGCTGAAACTCTATTCCCCATCACCAGTAATATGGAATTATTGTTATTTGGATAGAATAGTGCTGTTACCTTATAATGGCCTTAAAGGATTTTAGATCACTTACATCAGCTTGGCATTTAGAATACTTCAAAATCCCTCGGTCCAAAAAGAAGTATCTCTGTAACCGGAAATGCAAAGAATTAAAAACAAACAAAACACCCCAAAGAAACCCAAACAAAAACCCACCACAACCTCCCCCCATACTTCTTTGGAGAACATTTTATCTGCTCTTAACTAACCTTTTTTGCCACAAAACCACACCAAGCAAGGCACTCGCTTGGCATCAGGCTCTCAGATAGGCACTCCTTTCCTACCTTGTGCCAGCCCTTCAAAGGCCACTTCCTCTTTTTCAGCAAGCAGCCCTCCTGCTTCTGGGGCTCCTGGGTACAATTCATTGCTCCCCGGAGGCCTTCTACGATTTCCCAGCTGTCCTGCTTAAACAGAAAATCCAAATCTAGATCTTGTTTCCTCCAAAAAACAGTTTTGTTAAGACATATTCAAGAGGATGAAGGATATAAGTAAAAAAACCCCAAACAATGTTGAAATCTAACCTTAGATCCATCTTTACAATTTGTTATGTATCTTTCAAGGGGCAAGTTTCTTTTTTATTTTGATAGAAACAACACAAACTAAACAAAACACTCTTTTTATGACACCATCCTTCATTGAATGTTCTTACCAGAATTTTATATGTATATTTTTCTGTGCATACATACACACAGTGTACAGCCACTGCCTGGTCACAATTGAGCAGAAAAAACCTTCTGCCATCATAGGCAGAAACAACCTGTGCTAGAGGGATATGTTTTGTAGGTTATGAAGCAGAAATACAAAACACTGAAAATGAAGATTTTTTTTTTTATATAAAAGTCATTTGCCCATATCCAGTAACTCAAGTTTTGTGTTTGGTGTGGACTGTAACCTCCCTAAAGGAAAAATAATAAAATTAAATAAAAACAAATTAAAAAACCAGGGAAGTAGCTCGAGTACCATGAGGAATATGACATAAAGGGAGAGTACAAGAAAAATAAAAACCACTCTTCATCAGATACACCTCTAATTAAAAGAGGATCTCTCTTTTTTGCCATCAAGAACTCTTAAATGAAACACCCTGCAGCAACATAATAGAGGAGCAAATAAATCTCATAATATTTTTACAGTTCTTATTTATGGAAGCACTGCTAATGACAAAGTCACATGAGTTTCAAGATTTCTGATCAGAGATCTCATGAATTATTTATGGCCAGCTACCGCAGGATTTGACAGATCAAGAATTATGAACAACTGACAGGTAATGGCATGTGCTGGTACCGTCTCCATATATTTAAAAAAAGACAAAGAATTCTTTAACATGTAGAATTTAATGACAAAAAAGGACCAGCATGAAACACTTCAGGGAAAACAGAACTATACCAGGTAGGTAAGTACTTGTGGTCCTCCCTGTAAGATACACAGGGAAGTATTCCTAAGAAGGACTTGACTGACTAAAAAAAAAATTTAAACCAAAAATGAAACAGAAATCAGCAAGAGTGCCAGTTGTGCTCATTTATCAATCTCCAGAATCCTTAAAATTCACCCCTGGAGACCTAGAAAAGAAATTACCATCAGGAAATATGTTCATTACTTGAGTAACAAGGCATAATGGCAAACCACCTTTGAAAGACATTCATTAAACAGCTTAAGGAATGTGATCCGTTATTTCACACACTACTGGCAGCACTCCACTATTTTGTTTTTATTTTTCTTGCACTGCACTTTATGGTACAAACTGGAAAGCTGCTCTGCTTCCCTGGCTTGAGTTCACTCTGCCAGCACTCACCACACAACAGGCTGCAAGCAGAAGAAATGCGGGGCTGAGCAGCTCCATCACTCAGTACCCTACAGAACACCTCATGATGTTCTACTACATGAAGGTAAGTAAAAACACTGTTGTCTTAACCAAAATTGTTATCAATGGCATGCATTTTGTGCCCCTGCAGCTCTGGATATTATTCTAGTCAGTTCTGTAACAAAGAGCTTCTTTACTCCTTCCAGTCTGAGAGATATTTTGACAGCTACTTAGATACCATTATTTCTACCCAACAATCATGAATTCACATTTGTCCTACTGAAATCCAGAAGTTACACTCCACAACATTTATTTTTTATTTTTACTACTTTGGGACTCACGTAAGATTCTGAATAATCATGAACCCTGGACTGCTTTGGGGGGAGTTACTATGGTATCAGGGAACAGAGAAGTTACTCATGTATGCCAGGAGTCAGCAGGATGAAGGGGAAGCAGAAGGCGTCCTGGGCTGTCTCCAGCACACCAGCCCAACACCAGCCACAGCAGTGCACGCTCTGCTGCTGGAGACCAAACGCACTGCTCTTCCACAGGGTGAAGCTGGCAGAGAATGAAGCAGAGCCAGCCTGTGCTGGTGCAAGGGCAGGCAGCTAGAGCTGCAGTTTGACAGCTATTCAAGTACAAAGGCAGCTCTAAGCCTCCACAATTAAGGACTTTTTTCCCCTACCTTTTTTTTTTTGACAGAGCATTCCAGTTTACAACCTTGAAAGCCAAACAGAAATTATATTCCACCACCTCTTTTGCCATAAATCACAGAATGGTAGGGGTTGGAAGAGACCTCTGGAGATCATCTCGTCCAACCCCACTGCTAAAGCAGGTTCACCTGCAAGCAGCTTGCACAGGACCACGTCCAGGCGGGTTTTGGATATGTCCACCTGTGGAGATGGAGACTCCACAACCTCCCTGGGCAGTCTGTTCCAGTGCTTTGCTACCCTCACAGTGAAGTAGTTTTTCCTCATGTTCAAATGGAATTCCTGTGTTACAGCTGGTGACCATTGCCCCTTGTCCTGTTGCTGGGCTCCACTGAAAAAAGTCTGGCCTCATCCTCCTGACACCTGCTCTTTAGATATTTATAAACATTGATAAGATCCCCTCTTGGTCTTCTCTTCCGCAGGCTAAACAGAGCCAGCTCTCTCAACCTTTCCTCATGAGAGAGATGCTCCAGTCCCATAATCATCTTCGTAGCCCTCTGCTGGACACTCTCCAGTGGTTCCTTGTCTTTCTTGAAATATTATGGCACTTAAATGCTTTCTGTAGCGGTCTTGGATCTCTTTTTCCTGTTAAAGATTATCTATTAACCCAATCACAACGATTGGAACTGTTATGATGACAGAGAGCAGACTCTTCAAATATCATCAAATCTAGTGTAATGCTACAATTTATATTAATTAACAGTTTAAGTTCCTGCTGCTTAAATGTCCACATGTGGATAAAATCTCATCTCCTCAGAAAATATGATCTACGAAATGAGGCAATATAAAAAACAATATTGACATTAGCCAGTTTCAAATTGGAGACTTGGATAAAGGTAAACATTTTAAAACGTCAGAAACCTGATGGAAATAGTGAGATAATCCTAGTTATGAATCTACAGGAACATCTGTGAGATTAAGAAAAATGTTATGGTTATGTGTTTGTTTCTTCTTGAAATTAGCCAGAAGAGCTTAAAAGTTGTTTTGCCTGACTACCAAGAAAGCTATTTCCCTTGCCTCCACTGAAACATATTAAACTGCAGTACTCAAACACATAACTTTTCCACTGAGAATTAATCTGATAGCAGTCAAGATTAGTGAACAGTAGAGCTTTTTCAATATTCTAGTGTTAAACCTAATGAAACATTTTCTTGAATTTTGGATCAAGTTCTCACAGACTTTGGTTAAGCTTAAACTCAATATATGGTTGATAGAGTGGTCTGCTTGCAGGAGACAAGCAGAAATATGAGCACAATCAAGAAAAAGACAAGAATCCAGATCCACCTTTCTGTAAGGACAAAGTTAGAAAGAGAGGGACTCCTGAAGTGAGACAGATCCATGTTATGAAGTGGAGAGAAAGGAAGCAGCTGAAAAACAGCTCAGCCAATTACACCCACCTGGAATACACACCATGTTTTGGTCAAACTTTTAAATATAGAGCACATCCTGGCCTGCATAACAACTCCAATTTTGCCTGGGCCTCTCCTGCAGTTCAGACACAAAGTGTCTCCCACGTTCCTGCAGGAAAGTCCCATTTCTCACTGTTCTTCAGGCCAGTGAGGTGGCCAAGAACAAGCCTTCATATTTAAAAAGTGTGAAAATCAGAAGAAATGCTGAAGTGGGAGGATTTGTTCCCACCAAACAGGCCCGAGAGCCTGTCGAATCTCAGGAGGTGATGCAAAGTCTCCTACTCACATTTCTGCCCTACTCACACTTTGATTGCAAACTTTACATAAAGGTAGCTTCATCTAATTAGAAAGGGACACTTTAAAAAGCCCAAGACTATTTAATCAACTAAGCTACCTAAGGAAAGGCAAGGAATAGCTCAGAGAATTAATGAGTTTAGGGACTTGCTGGATACATGCAAGGTGCAGTGCTGCAGTGAGAGCATCTGATCATCCTCCACATCCATCCGTCCATCCAGAAGAGTTCAACCTTTCCCATCTGAACCCCTGAACTCCCACATTTTTCAAAACAATGTTGCTGTGACTGGTTTTGGATGTGTTTGTTCTTGATCCAGACCCTATAGAATCTTGATTGGTATTTTGTTTTGCAAGAGATCTGACACCTCATTTAATGCGGAAAAAGCATCAGTTGCCTATTGCTGGGAGCAGCTGCAGAAGCAAAAGAAAACTGCTTACTCTCTAAAATGAAGACAAATGAATCAGGCTGCTCAGTTATCATCTATTCTCATCTGTCTGAAATGGCAGAGGAGCAAATTGGAGATATAGGAGCTCCTGAAAGCTATTGGAAGCATTCAGATTCTGCTCCATTTTGCTTATTCTTATCCCACACCAAGAAACTGAAAGAAAGAAAACTGAAAGAAACACTCCAAACCACAGCACTAAATTAAAAAAAACACAACACAACAACCACATGGCCCAAAACTCCCAACTGAATGGCATTAACAATTCTAGCATAAGCCTGATTCCCAGACTAGTAGTGTCTTAAGGTTATGACACTACAAAATATTTTGTATCATTATGGGCCAATATCTGCACAAAATTATCAATGCTGCATTTGCTGCCCAGACAGAAATTTCACTTGAGGTTGAGGGAGGAACACACTCTTCACTTTTCTCAGGTCCAGAGGTGCTCATTTCAGATCAGCACTGGAACTTCATCCTGTAGTTGCTACTTAGCTTATATCTGCTCTGTGGCTGAGAAAAAAAACAACAAACTTTGGTCATCAGAGATAAGTCTGTCATTAGGTAATAATAATAAAATAATAAGGTAATAATAGGTAATAATAGTAATAAAAGCCTCCTCATTTTCCACAATATCCTGCAGCATACAGCTCCTCAAGGTGAATTATTTCAGGACAAAGAATGAAGTAATGAGTTTGAACAGCTCTCAGACTGATGACAGTGCTAGACTTTCTCCCAGTGTAAAACGCAGTCAGTTGTACAGGGTATTTGAAAGTGCCAAAAATAGAAACCTGCTTTGTGGAGGATAAGGGCTGGCATCAGCTGCAACTAAAGCATTTGTTACGGTTCATAAAATTGGCAGAAATGATTTAATTTTCCTTTTTAGAGCATGAGGGGTTTTTTTTCAGCAGCATTCCTGACAAAGCTTTTCCCTACTGAATCTATTTTAAAAGTTAGTTAACATATTAGACCTAAAAATAAGTACCGCAATAAATCCTCTTTTGATCACAGGTCAATTTAGATTTAAAGAAGATCAAAACCAGTTTTTCTTCCTCACAAAACACAAAGTTTGAGTTGTGGCTTTGTAGAAGGGATCCCTTTCCATGGCTGAAGGAGAAGGGCAGAGAAAAGCAGAGAGGTGGGATGTTGCAGTAGCCTCGAAACTGCTATGGGGCTTCAAGATGAACTTACAGAAACAGGATTAACTGTTAGCATCTTCAGTTCACACAGCGAATGTGCTGGATCTGGCAGAAAAAGGGCACCAAGTTTAGCAAAGAAAGGAGTAGGGCTCTCCAATTCCTGCACCTCGGCTTAAGTCAACTCTTTTTTGGCACAGTGGCCCATCTTCTGCATCACAGGACTCTACTTATGCTCTACACCACTTACACATGTTGCTTTGTGGGGAGCAATAACTAAGTTTTAGTGGGCACAGCAGCCTTGTACTATGGGGTTTCTATATCCCAATCTCAGGTAGCTGCTTATTATGTGGTGCTAGTGTGTAGCACCCTCAAAACTCAGATCTCACTATTTGGGGGAAAACCAAATGAACTGTCTAGGTCCCTTTCCCTGCACATTTTGGAAAATCTTTCTACTTAATCAGATTAAAAGAACTGCTGCATCTGAGCAGCAGCACAGAGAAAAGCACCCATCAGGCAGATCTGTTGTTAACCTGCAAGCAACAAGCCTGGGTCTGAAGGTCTCTGAGAGAGGCACAAATGTTTGAAGGAGGAATAAGAAGCCCTTCATGGAGCTGGAAGATGAAGGAAAGAATAGCAAAATCATAGCACTTCACTCCCCAGTCTGCACAGCATGTAGCAAAATTATTTAAACTTTCATGTTACTATTAATAAAAAATATCAGTAAGTGTTACACTGTACTCTTCTACCAGGGTTTTGTTGGGGAAAAAAAGAAATCTGTGGCCCTTTTGAGATTAGGGGATTTTAAACAGATTTATAGAATTTTAGATTGTTGCTGTTTTCTTAAGAGAACACCTTAAAGTGCTGTCAGTTAAACTTACATGCAGATGCAAAGGGCAATTTAACTCTCAGACAGTGGCACCACTCATCCCCAGTCTTGTCAGCCCTGAGTAGGTGGATATGAGTAGGGAGGGACTGCAAAGCTCCCATTTACCAACACAAGAGGCTGAGTGAGAAAAAAAGGAATTAACAATGTAAACAGAACTACGTGATCAGGTGTAACAAGAAATCCTCTGTGGGAATGGGTGAGTGAAGGGACAGGAAAGATCTCAACATCCTCACTGCCCAGACCAACAATTTAGATTTTATAACATATACTATACTATAGAGTTTACACCACTAAAGTGGGGATCTATCTAGCAAGATAAAGATCTTTATAATCTGGAAAAACAGAGCCTTTTGAGGAGCATGAACAAGGAGATGATATCTGTTCCTCACCCAAAGCCCTACTGTGTCCATGCCAGTAAGTCTTTACTGTCTTTTAGACCTAAAGGTCCTGCTTTCCACATGCAGCACAGAAGAGAAATCTAACAAAACATTCACTGAAACAGGCTACCATCACAAACTATAATTAAGAAATAAATTTTTTAAAAGTATATGGGAAAATGACTCAGAGATGTTATTTTCAAGTAAATATCCAAAGTGCATATTGTACAGGATATTTAAATCTTTGTTCTCCCAGCAAAACAGTTTGTTCTGTAAACTGCAGGAGAACTTCAGTGTGAAAAAACAGCCACGCGAAAAACACCAAAAACTCTGGGGAATTAAGGAACAGCAGTCCACAGCCACACACATAAAAACTGACAATGCTGAAAGAAACTGTAATTTAGAATTTCTTTTTCTTTCTTTCTCAATGTGGCTACTTTGAAGGAAGACCTCTAAATCACTTGAGCAGATGCAAACGAAGTTATAGTTTAAGGTAGAAAGTTACTGCACTTGGTAAAGAAAGAAACAGAGCCGGTATTAAAGCATTCCTTACAAATATTAGCAAGTCCCTATTTAAAAATAAAAATATCAGAGAAAGCAGTGGAGCCTTAAAAAGTATGTGTAGCTTCTGTAAAACATGTTTGTAAATTTTCAGACTACATAGAAAAAGCAAGCAAGCAGAGCTTCTAGCCCTGCTTAGTGATCATTTCCCAGCTTATAGCAAGTTACACAAACTCTCCAATTTCTGTGTGCTTGCCTTTACCTAACCTACTCCGTAACTCCATTTATCTTGTCCTGATAGGTGTATGAGGCAATTTACCATCTGCCTGACGATAATGAATGAGCACAGATGGACCAGGAATACAAACAAAACACCAAGTTGCATTTCTCACCTTGGTCAGGTACACCTTGCATTTTTGTACAAGGAACAAAACTTGGGGATTGGCTAAATGACATTAAACATTACTGAATTAGCCTTTTCTCCAAAGAGAGCAGGTGAGAACAAAATGGATAAGCAATGGGACCTGCTAATAACAGTATCAAAAGGCTGAGCGAGCCAACAGATCTGGCCATGTTGAATGGCAGCAAGCGAGGTTCTTCAGAAATTGCTTCTGCGTAAGTATAGTTGCTTATCCTCACTGTGTAACACACCAGTGGATTTAGTCACGCTTATGTAAATCTTATTATTTAACACTACATTATAACACTTGATAGACATGAACTGTTGAAAAACACAATACCAAATGTTTTAAATTACACTTTTTAAGGGTAATCTCATACCAAGGATATAACAACTAACAAATAATGTTGCAGGAAAACAAAAAAGGCATCTTGAGAGCAAGGATTTCTTTGCTTGGTATACTAGAAATACACAGCATTTCTTACAAGCACAGCACTTCAAAGAACATAAATTGTTCAGAGATTTGCCTGCCGTGCCAATTGTACACACAGAGAATGCAGTCCCAGAAAAGCAGGTGCTATTCCAAAACACAGCTGAGGTCTCCAAAGTTTTTGGGGGATTGAGATGCTCAATTCTGATTAAAATTTCAACCTGAGGCAGCTTCAAGAGCACCACTAAGCCAGCAACTGTACAAGTAAAAGTTTATGTTGAGCATACTGCTCATGATTTTGCAAGTATGGATTGCATGTTTAAGCTTAATTCTCAAGGTGGCTGCAGGTCAATGTTTCTTGCCCACAAACAGAAGCTGTCTTCAGCAGTCTCACTTGTCAGGTGTAGACATGTCTTTTAAAACTTTAAGGTTTAAAGACCAGAGATTAAGAGATTCGCCGATATTCAAGAGCTAAAGTAACAGCCAACCTTAGTAATGCCAACCCTTAGTTGGGTTGAAAAACTTTGTATTACCTGTCGGCTTCCCTGCTTAGAGGAGCAGCTGCTTGTACTTCTTGAAGGAGACAACATCTTCTGGGATGCACCAAAGTTTTTTTCTTCACTCATGATCCAATGCTACTTGTTTCACATAAGCTCACTTAGAACACCATTAAAAGGTAATTTAGAAAATGTGTTGGAAGACTCTTGAGAGAAACGCAGAACTCATCCTTCACCCAAATGCAGTCCAGTGGCATGATCTGCATCCCCTGGGATTTCCTAAAAGGGAAAAGAAAAACAAAAAGCCAAGTTATCCGATGCCATCTCTTACTGCCATCCTGAATCACAGAATCACAGAATGTTAAGAATTGGAAGGGACCTCGAAAGTTCATCCAGTCCAACCCCCCTGCCAGAGCAGGATCACCTAGACCAGGTCACACAGGAAATCATGAAATCATAATAATGCCTTGGGTAATACAAGTTGACTACACTTAGAAATAATAATTCAACAATCACTTTAAGAGAAATTTTCAAGCCTCAAACAGGAATAGTAAGAATTTTTGATCCTAAATGCATGCTTTAATTGACACTATTTATTCAGAGGACCAAGCATCTTTTTAAAGAGCTAAATTAATAATCCAAACCCAAGATTAATGAAGACACATACAGAGTATAATAAATACCTATATAAAAGGAACCAAAATGCCCTCAAAATAAGAAGAAAACACCTAGTAAAAGGTCTCACAAAAAGGATGGTGAGTAACCCAAAAACTATCTTTTTCCCAGTTCCCTGATAATTTCAGCAAGTAAACATGGCTTCAGGTTGTAAGGAAAAAAAACCACCAAATCTCTCTATATAAAAGAGCAATACATAAAAGCAGTGAGCGTGCAAACTCGGCCACACAGAGCTGTGCACGACCACTCTTACCTAGAATAAGAAAGTTGTACTCATTGTCACATCATTTGTCTTAGTGACTGGAAGAATAATTAACAGTCTGTTTAATAACAGTGCTGTTTGCAGCATAGGCAAGGAAAAGCCATGCCAGAAACTCCCAATAACGGATTTCCAGTGTGGGCAAGAGCCGTCATGGTAACTGCATTTTTTTTTTAAAACCAAACAGAGGACATAACAAAAGGGTGATTATTTCCAAAAGCTGAGGTGGTGGAGGAGCTTTATGAATTGTGTATCCCTTCGGATTTTATTGTCTTGGGCAAGGAATTTGCACATTAGAGTGCAAGAACCACCACTGAGGAAGGTAAGGAAGTCTCCACAAAGAGAAGAGAAATTTCATTGCCAAAACAGGGAGGGGCTATTTCACATTATTTCCCCTCACTTGCGCTGTCAGAACACTGCTGAACTGGGTTTACTGGTTATTGGAGTTTGCCATTAAATTTTCCTGAAGAGGCTTAAAAACCTATTCTGAGAGAAGCAGCATTTTAAGATTCCTAGTAAAACCCTGTGTATTTTAAGAATTCACATCCCCTTTAAAAACAAAACAAAATAAAATAAAACCAAAAACTAGACAAACATAAAAAAACAAATCAAAGTATGTGCTGTATTTAAAATGAAGGCAACAGTATACTGCAGAAAACCTCTCTCCCTACTGCCGTAGCCGGAGGCATCCAACTTCTGAACCAAGACCTTTTCCAATGTACAGTGCCTCTTCAGCAACACAGTTTGCTGTACCACTTCAACCAGCATGCCCTCTTTTCACCTGAAACAAGGTCTTTCTTCATGGCATTTACCTTACCTAGTTAGAAATAATTACTCCCAGAGCAAATCTGTGCTTAGTAACAGTGATGAAACAGCCCCAGCCTCCAAAAGTCAGGTGACAAAGCAAGCTCTGCTGAGGCTCTTTCACAGATGAGTCAGCTTGGCAATTATTTTCAGGAACCACCACAGAGGTACAAAGCCAGCAAGCACAATGCAAGAGCCATAGAAAACCAGGACAGCACAGCAATGGGATGGCAATGTCTGAATTGGGCCTAGCAATCGGGTTTTACACTGAAGTTACTACTGAGATCAGGAATAGTGCATTCTGGAGAAGGTACAGTCACTTCCTCTCCAGATTATAAATTTGTGTGGCAATTCATTAAAGACCAGCACTTTTCACAGGCTTAGATTTATCTCAGTTTATGCAGATTTTAAACTGTGGAGTAAGTATAACTTTTTTTGCTTAGTTTCAAGCTGCATTTAGTAAAAGAGTTTAATGACAACATCTCTCATTAACAAACAGAGGTCAAATATTCATAAGAAGAATGGAAACACACTTCTGCAAACTCTTAGTTCAGATACCCTCTTGAAAGTACTGTGCAGCAAGTGCTTTACATTTTTGGCACACTGTACATCCAGACAACTGCCTGACCTCTTCACCGCTCCACGTTCAAACTGAACACTCCATCACTTGGCTTTCTTTGGCAAGTAGTCAGCATTCTGGCAAAGACTGGCTGAGTTCATGACAAGAAAAAGGCTCTAATTTGCAGAAAAATGCACTGAAAGTTGCTGTCGTCAGTACCTTTCAAGTATATCTCCAGGATGTATTAGATTTGAGCCATAAAATGCCCTTTGCCCCTTTGAACACACAGCACAATGGTTGCAATGTTCTGGAAGCATCAGGCAACTGAAAAAAAATTGAGCTCTTGCAGACTTTAACACAAAAAGAAGCTGTGTAATCAGAAGAGTACTTCCATCATCACATTTTCAGTGTGGAGTCTAAATGAAGTTCAGGTGTGGCTCCATTCGCATTTTAGGATGGAGCACAAGAGCACTTCTACAAATCTGGTCCACCCCTCTTGCCACATTTAGGTTTGTACTGCAGGACAGTCCTGGAGCATGGAAACCTTTATAGTGAAATATTTCAGGATGAAATGTGCTCCAGGAGTGCATCAAAGTGCTCAAAGTATTGAATCCATACCACCAGACCAGAGCTAGCCCTGAGTAGTCCCATCCTGGTGTAGAAGATGAGTCCTCACCTTTAACTGATTCACTACAAAGATCCACCTTTGCTGCACTACTCTACCTACTAACACTGACATCATCTAGACACAGAATTGCATCACCCAGGGCAGTATCATTTGTTCTTTTGGAATCAAAAAGGTTTCCCAGAATTCAAATGAGCTGAAGGTGACTCAGCCACGTAACCAGAGGTGCTTAAATGACGGGCAAGAGATGCAGTAAATCTGACAGAGAGCGTCTGAAGTATTTTATCAGTCTGCTTCCAAAATTGGGCTTTCAAATTTTCCTTTATTCCTTCCAATTAATTTACTACATGGGCTGAAGAAAAGGCTTTTGTTACTAGCCCTGAAAAAGGCAGGAGCAAAATACATCCTCTCTCCACAGTGTTTTATTATTATTTTATTGGTGTTTCCCAGTGATTTAAATTATTACCTTGAGACTTCCAGATTTGAACATGAAAGTGTTTGTGAATAATGAACATGGCCTCCACTCATCTGTGAAAACTGCTGCATGCTCCAGCAACTACTTTGTGCTCCTTTTTAAAAATTCTCTTCAGGTTCAGGAAGAAAAAAGAAAACTATGGTTGCCCTTCAACAGCAACCCACTTATTCTTCCAGGAAGGTTCAAAAACACTGATCATGCATCTCAAAATCACTCTCATATTCTGGCTACCAGCAGCAGTGACTGGTCCTCTCTAGGGAGACTGGTATTTTACATTACCTGTGGAACTTAAGGCTACCAGGTACAAGAGCAATTACGATTTTAAAGCAGGCACAAAAATCAGTATTATGCTACCTAATCTAAGATTGCAGCTAAAATTGATATTTTGAAGTCATCATGATCCAATTGCTCCAGGTTCACTACAGTTTGCTTCTCCTCATACCACAGGATGGCTTCAGAACTGTGTTTGTGCCCACCTTTCCTCTGGAGCACACCCTGCCACTTGCTTTGGTCTACTCCAAAAAGACAAATTAAAGGTGTGAGGCTGAGGCAAATCCAAATAAATTTAGGACAGGAATTTTCACAAGTGCTAAGTATTGGCCTAATTCTTCGCTCTCAAGTCAACAGCAGCAAAAGTAGGCCAAGTAGTACTTCTGCAAATGACCTCGCCAGGTGCATTTTAAAGAATTAAGAATACATAAGTATCAAATATTATTTATAGCTACTACATTCTAAATCCATAAATAGCACTTATCTCTACTTATCTGTTACTAAGAGCCTTATCATCGTACATCAATTAAAGGTAATGTAACATAACATGTACTAGAGGAAGTTTAAAAAGTACCATCCTGAGTTGTCCTCAAAACCTTAAAATTGCACAAGTGCAAAGCAGCCTCTCAGTATCACAATTCACCTCTTGCAACTCTCAAAGCAATAAGCTTACAGCAAAATCCAAGGTTTTCCACATCTCACAAAAGAAAAAAGGCAGAAATTCAGGGGGGGGGGGAAGGAAAACGGCAGGAAAAAAAATCAACATTTGGCAATTATTTTTGTTATGTCTCTGGAAGAAAAATAAAGCCTTAACAGCTGCTTCAGAGCTGATTCAGCAGTGAAACAACACTGAAGGGAGATTTTGAGCAGCAAAACTGGAAGCGTACATCTCATTCTGTAACTGCACACAATTAAGGATTTGTGGATGGAAGAATAGGAAGAACAGAAAGCCTGATGAGAGTCATGTGGGCACAGCATGCACAGGACTGAGCAAACCAAATCAGAGACGCAAGCAACATTGAGTGACTTTCACTGAATTAAAAAAAGAATCTGTGCTGAAACCTTTGCTCTGTAGCTATTATTAAATTTTATTAGTTACATTCACTCACATCCACCTGGATAAACAAAGCACAAATCTTTTCCAAGTAATGCTTTCATGGCTTTCTCTGTTCAAATTGTCAGCTTTAATCTATCCCAGTGTCTCATCTGGCTCAAAAAAGGAAAGCATTATTTATAGACTACAGATAGGCCACATACAACTACTGGAGATGCCTTTTCAAGGAGGGTATTAGCTGTTCCTGAATTACCATAAGGTTCATACTTCTGAAGGGCAAAGCACACAAACACTGTACTGTTGCTAGCTCTTCTCTTTACAGAAGAAAACTTGCAGAAACAAATATAAAGTGGTTTAAAACAACTAAGTTATTAAAACTATAAAAAATGTCAAACAACTATTTCAGAA